TACATACATACATACATACATACATACATACATACATACATACATACGAACAGTTCGTCAGAGGATGTGCTGTGTTTCTTCCCGCAAGGTCTTTGTGCATGTCCTTGTCCACTGAGTGCAAGAAACATCATCGGAAGACATGTATCCATTGTTCCACAAGCAGGTTTTACACATTTCTTCAATGGTACACCTCTATGCCAGTTCTACACATGTTTTTCAGGTGCATCATTCAACAGATTCAACCGATTCAAACATCCAAAATCAAGATCCTAGCTTTTCACAAAACAACCAAAAACAAACACTTGATGTTTTTGTTCCACTCGTTTCTTTTTTTTATGTGTGTTTCTTTTTAATCCTTTTTCACCTCACCTGGAACCCAGTCTGGCAGATGCCGGAGGCCCGAGCGCCGAGCGTCCGAGCTCTTGGGTTTCGGCGTGATCATCTCCTTGGCCAAGAAGCACGGAAACTCGCCGGACCGGGGTCGACGAGTCTGAATCCCCTTTAAGGAAATTGGGTGTTGATGCGGTTTGAGGTATGTTGATTTGTTGTTGTTGTTGTTGTTGTGTTTTTTCATTGTTTGTTGCTTCATAAAACTGTATTGTAATAATACCCAGTGGGTCAACGCACCAGTTTAACCAGTTCTTTAGTAACGCACCAGTTTAACCGGTGCTTTAGCAAAACTGGGGCTGGAAGCTTAAAAAGGCCGTGAAAAACCCGTGAAAAGGACGTGAAAAACCCGTGAAAAGCCCGTGAAAACAGGGTGAAAGGCCGTGAAAAACCTGTGAAAATTAGGTCTTGGAAGTTGGGAGGTGAAATGCGTCCTTTATGCTAACGCACCAGTTTAACCCGTCCTTTGGACTTGCTGGGATAGTTAACACTATATATATATATACAGTATAACATTTTGTTTGAGATCGAGATTCAATGCGTTTGTCGTGTTCCTTTCGCAAAAACTGAATTGCTGAAACCAGACTGGTTGGCTGCGAAACTGCCGCGTAGTTCACTGAGCCCTTTGAGCTTCCCATACCCAAAACCGCCGTTTCGCGAAAGTGGATGCGGTGGTGGAAGCAGCAAACTTTGAAATATGTTGAAACTCTGGTGGACAAGAAGGACAGCAAAACTGACAACAGCCGCTGAATGTGGAATGTGGAAGATCCGTAACTATATAGATGTTTGGCTGGTATGATTCTCAATTGGCAATTGTTGCCTCCCGAACTTGTGATACATTTCTCCCCTGCAAAACCCACTGCTCCGTCGTGCGGGAACTCCTGGCTGAAGGGTCAATCTGAGGCATTCCTGCGCAAGAAGTGCGACAGACCCTGGGCATGTTGGGGGTTGGGAGGATTGATCGGGAACATAGAAGATGAGGTACCAGAGATCGGACGTATTATCCTGATACCGAAGGCATCCCCTTCTTCCCCTGTCGATGAAAGCGAGGGAAGGCACTTGATGGCGAGGGCACGTTGGCTGGGGCACCATCCGTGACACTGAGAGGCTTGCCACATCGTGGTTCTGCTTGTAGGTGTGGAAGAAAAATGGTTGCAGGATTCGCGCCAGTCCCGAACAAAAGGCACCGGTCAGATCTTCAGGGCTGAATTTGGGTGAACCTGCAAGCTCAATTTTTGTTCGGCTTGAGACTAGCACCTGAGCCAGTTTCTGTGGAATAAGAATGTGAAAGACAATCTGCGCAAAGGAGGGCAAGAAAACGTTGGAAACTTATATAAACCTCCGGGCCAGGGGCCAGAAACCAAGCTTGCCAAAAGCATGAGCGTCATGAACCAAGATCTAGAGAAGAGACTAGGCTCCGCACCCAGCACGTCATATCCACATTGAGATGACCCCAAAGTGGTCATCAGTTTAAAGTATCATACAGTATTCCCGAGCCGCTAGCCTTCAAAGACCATTTAAAGAACATGACGTGGCATTCTGCAGTCTAAGATCCTCAGTAGCAATTGGTTAGTTTGATTAATAAGGACCATTTAACAACTATTGTTGGAATCGCAGGGTATATGTGTTTTTGGTTCCCCTAAAAAACCAGTGATTCTGAGGTTAACTACGGACGGTAGTAAACAATTTGCTTGTTGACTATACGTACACCCCAGCTGAGTGACCTCTATTTCTATGTTCACCACCAACCACTACCCATGTTTTTTCCCCATAAAAGTAGAGGTCCAATGAAATCTAGGTATATGTATTGATCTGCATACATGGAACCATGGCTTCTAGCTATTTCCACCATCATTCGGATTCCCGTCCACTCCGGCTTCGTCCACTCCGCCCATTGGTCGCAAGGTGCGCCGACGAGTTCCGGACGGTGGATTCGGATCGCGACGGGAAGCTCTCCATGCAGCAATTCGAGATCCTGGTCCGGAAGCGTCCGGGACTCGGTCCCGGTCTCGTCGCGGATCGGGGCAGGTCCTGGGATGGAGGAGGAGGGGGAATTGGGGTGCATCCAATGTGGCGATGTGGCGATGAGGTACTCAGCATGACACATGTCCACACATTGCGCAGCAAGCAGCAAGCATGAGCCCTTTGCTGGAGCCCGGGACAGTTTGCAGGAGTCAGTACAGTTTGGGTTCACTGACCCTGCTTATGCTATTGGGTGGTACTTTAAGATATAGGGTACGGTACTGCCGTCATGTAGCTGAGCATCCTGACCCAAAATAGATAAAGGAGTACACATTGTGCACTTGACAATTGCATCAAAGGCGTTTCTCGACAGGCCATGTGCGCTGGGGTTAGATGCACAGCTTACGTTTGAAAGTCATTTGACAAACAGGACTCATTTGTACTTGTACGAACAAAGCTGAAAAGGAAAAACCGATGCAGTGCCTCATTTGTATACTTGTACGAACAAAACTGAAAAGGAAAGACCGATGCAGTGCCTCATTTGTATACTTGTACGAACAAAACTGAAAAGGAAAGACCGATGCAGTGCACGGAAAAACGGCGCGGTGTCCGAACGGTTTGAGGATCCAGGTGCGACACCAAATAGATGTCCAAAAGTAAGAGCTTCCCCTCGCGGTCCTCTACATTTGTGCTGTGGAAACGCTGAGTCTTCCGCCCAAATGGGGAAAGCTTGAGCCATGGCTTAACCCATTGGATCAGGTGCCTAAAAACATCTGTGCGATTTATGCAGCTTCCCAAGACATCAAGAAATCATAGACTGGTCTTGATTGGCAAGCATCATCCATAGACCTTGGTCCGGTGTTTAGACCTTGGTCCGGTGTCTTCCTTGATCGACCACGGTGGGTATTCCCCCTGCGACCCCTGGGACCCCGCCGAAAAGAGGCTGCGACATGACGCCCGGCGAGCAAATGCCCAGCACCTTGGCCTCCACCATGCAAAAGGCCGCCGATCAGCGCGGAGATGGCCCCTCAGCAGCACGTGTGGCACCAGGCTGTGCCCTGTCGAGTGAAAGTATGTCTAGGTGCTGAAGTGAAGGAAAGTGAGGTGATGCCTCTTCAGGATCTGTGATCATGGAGGTACCAAACCTGCACAATCGGGCAGCTTCCAAATTGCTCTCAAGGAGTGGACGTGCTATGTTTAACCCCGAGGAGTCCAAAGTTCTTCTTGATTGAGTGTTGGTTCTTTTTGGTCGTTGTAGTGGCCAAGTGCGAGCCTGTTGATGAATGTTGGCTGAGTCAATCGCATGTTTACTCGCAGAAACCAGGATTTTGGGGGGGGCTCCCTTCCCACCTGGACCTGATGATAAAAGCGGCACCAGCCATCGCCGACCACATAAGTTTGAAGTAAGAGGAGGTGTAAGAACGCAGACATGTTGCAGACCACCGATTGCCACAAGCACGTGAACTTCACAGGAACTCGAGTCGGAGGGAAGCCATCCCTCCGGGCCCGAAAAAGAAGTCTTCGCTTGCTTGGGCCAATGGGCCAATGGCACTCCAAAACAGTTATATAACTCCCGATATATTTATATAATGTGTTTTTCTTTTTTGTTGAAGGCTCATGTCACAAGGTCTTCGCTTGCTTGTTGGGTGCTGTGGATGTGTTGGGCCCCATCGACGTGGTCCCGTTCTCCGGGTCCCGTGGCCGAGGAAAAGTGGCCTTCGAGGACTTTCTGCTGTGGGTTTGGCAGTGCATTTTCATGGAAGAGATCCTTGGATGGAATGGCTTAGAGTTCATATAAGCATGCTATTCAACAAGTGAAAAACAAGGGGAGATACGGTGGTTTGGACCATCCATCTTCTTGGGATTTTGTTTGTTTGGCTTAAGCCTAAGCTGCCGGATTTGTTTGGCGCCTGAACTTTGACAAGGGTATGTGGGGATGGAAACATGTTTTGGAGGAATTCAACCGAGGAAACGCAGAAGCGGAATAACCCCTCCTACAGGCCAAAAATTCGACTGAGCATTCCTCAGTGAAGGAAAGAGCTAAACAAGGACACAAGCACCTGTGGAGTCCCACTATCACTCGCAGAGTTCTTGGCTATCCCCCACTGCGCCAGGTGATGGTCTCCAGATGTTTCTTGTCAGCGGTACTCTTTCTGTTTGACCCCCCATCAGCGTGATCTCCAGAGTGCGAGCCGGGGAGATTTGCGCGTGGTCGCCGAAAAAAAAACGAACAATAGTTAGGAAACCAAATCTGTAAACACGTTTAATTGATATGTATATATATATATATGTATTAATATATGGTTGCTTGTTTCTTTTTCAATTAATACAACTGTATTATGCTATTTGCACGAGCTTTGCTTAATTATTCCGACCTCCATAATAAACTATTCAGGGTGTTGGAATAATCTTGTTTGCTGTTGGTTTCACTGTTCCCTCCAACCACTTTTTTGAACATTAACATGCAAGACGGTGGTATTTATTGAAGATGGCATCTATGAGGATATGCATTTTGAAGTGAGTGTTTTCACTTTGAAACTGGTAATATTTGATAAGTGCAGTGGGACAATCCCATCGGGCTGGTGCAGATTGGAATTCTTGGTATAAACAGGTAAAACGGGCCTACTGTAATTTTACCAGACATCTGGAACAGTGGAGAGTCATGGCTAACAATTACAAGGAATGCCAAGCGTCATTTTACCGTAATTATATATTTGACCTTAATCGTCTGGGGGCCTACTCACTTTCCTGGTCAACCACAGACTATGTGAATCCCCGCTGAGAGTTCCAACCATCACTCACCAACTGCTCCTCAACACACCACCCAAAAAAAGTAAAGAAACAAACAAAACAACCTCCGGTGGCCATAAAGACCGCTACTGGCGCTCCTGCTACGCGGCAGTGCTTCACTTGTTTGAGGATGTCGGCCACGGATAGCTTGGAACGGCAGCAACGGAATTTGGCACGCGAACTTGGACTGGATTTGCCCAAGTTGGAGTACCTCCGGGACATTCCCTGACGAGTGAGGGCGCGAACTTGTTGGATGCATTCGCGCGCTTAGCGAAGTCTCGGGACTTTCGGATGGGGGCCGTGAGGTTTTGGTGGCTGGAGAGGGTTGAGATCAGTTGGGTGTGAACCAAACCCTCCACAGCAAGTTCTTGTTCGGTTTCTTCGGGGGGAAGTCATTTTCAGATCGGCCGGGACGTTCAGCTTCAGAACGCCTTCCCGACGGCCCGATGCATTCCTTTCGGGTCTCTCGCGTTCTGAACGCTGGATGGATCCCCATAGACCTGAGGAACATAATTGAACATACCTGGCAGTCAAAACCTGGAGCTCCGTTTCCCCCTGATCGGTTGACAGACTAGTAGTCAGGCTAGTAGTCAGACTAGTTCCCCTGTTCATGATTAGAACTTCAGTGGCGATCCATATGCTCCACTTCCACAGGGAGCCAGGGAACGGGGAGTTCCATAACTCCAACAGCTAGGACTCAACATGGTTCACCATCACTCGCACAGATGTGGCAGACCATCGGTCAGTCAGTAGGTTGAGGCCAGAAGGTGTTGCGGACCATTTTTTTTTGCGAGGCCAGAAGATCTTGAAGCCACGTCATTCCCTAATATTTGGGTTATTAGGATTTATTAGGGTGATTGTTGATTTTCCCTATGGGTGAATCCATGCGTGTGAATCCCATTCAGGGGAATATGTTTGTATGTTTCCCAGTTCCTTAATGAGAGCACATCCAAGATATTCCCCTGCACTCCATTGCAGGAACTCTTCAACGACTGTGACGACGACCGGAGTGGCTTTATCGAATGGCCGGAGCGGGGCCAAGCAATGGGCCCGAGCGAAGGGCGGGCGATAGCTGGTGGGATGATGTAGGTCCTTCATAGTATTTCATGGTGGCAGCATTGTGGCATACTGTTTGGTAAAATTCCTAGTGAGCCAGGTAACCAGTATCAGTTGGTAAAATAGTTTGAGTCATCACTACTCTACTTTGCGAAAGGCCGTTACTAGTCGTCGTCGTCATCATCATCATCATCATCATCATCCATTGCTACTGGTAACGGGATATGGTATACCCAACATATTGTGGCAATTCTTGGACTTTGATCGACCACATAAATAGATGGGAGACCACCGGAGACACTTTCTGGAAAGGAACTGAGCAACAAATCATTCTGACAGCCTGACAAAAAAAAGCCTTTCCTCAATCCAGAGCGAACCCAGAGTGTGTTCCTTCAAACCATGGCAGACCTTCAAACATCTCGATTGGTTTTCTTAAAAACATGTCAACACATATTGTATATTATTGCTTAATTGTACCTAACTAAATATAATACAATATAGTATAATATACATATAAAACATATGTACATATATATATATGTATATAGTATAGTAGGATATAGATGTGATGTTGCCGAGACAGTTCTTGGGTACCTGAACTGCTCTTGGCAGATGTTTGGTTGGCCAGAGATAGGACCTAGGAATTTCGGAGGATGTTGTTTTTGCTTGATGTTGGGGAGGTGCTTTCATCCCGGAACCCCTGCAGAACGAACTCGGCGTTTTTCAACACCGGCCGGATGTGGCGGGTCTGCAGGAGTTCGATCAGCTGGTCAGAAGTCTGCTGGATGCGAAGGAAGCCACAGAGCCATGGCAATTTTAACATGAGTTTTGCCCAGCCGAAGGGCCAGCAGGGCAAGCTGCGGGGTGGTCAGAGGATGGGTTGAGGCGCTTGGTGCGAAAAGAGCTGTATACTTATTTTCAATGATTGAGTTACTGAAACTGCAGCAGGATCAAAACACAAAAATGCAAAAGGTCAGGCCCTCAATTCAGGGCCTGGGCCCCTCTACACCACTGTAGATGCTTACTATTGGATCAGCAAGGTCCAATACATGTCCATATTGTAGGCAAAGGATTGTCTCAAGGCCATGTTGTACAATTGATATCATGTTTTTGCCTTGGTTCCATTCAGATTGAGACCTTTCGCTGCAGCGAAAAGGCACCCTCCAAAAACGACAACGAAATCACCACAGGACCGATCGCTCTTGCCCAGGAGCCCCTAGTAGCGTCCTTGCTCCTAGTAGTAAGGCCAGGAGCCCCTAGTAGCGTGTGTGGATGTTGCCCCCAAAAGATGTTGTCACAATGTCCAGTCGCGCAGTTCCGTTTTGGCCATACCCACATGATTCATGATTATGATGAGTTCGCAGTTGTGGCATGTCCTTGTTTGCCCACATATATTGCAACCTTAGACACTTGATCCGGCTTTGTAAGGCCATTATGTACTTGCAGAATACGTTTTCCTTTGGCAGTCAACAGTTTGTTTTTGTTTTTTTGATCTATCATGGAGTCATGAAGCTTTCAGCAGATGGATCTTCGATGGGGATGGATGATCCATGGTGTTTCACCCGGTGAAACCACGTGGGAACCCGCATGATGGACCTTGTTGAGGGGGCACTGAGTCAGGACCTGCTGATCTTCAGGGCAAGTGGTCCTTATATGTCCTTATTGATGGGGGTTGGAATCCAAGAGATTCCAAGAAGCGTCAAAAGAAGGAATAGACACGACATGATCTTCAAGGTGCCCCGGTTTTGACTCACAGCCATTTCAAGCGATTTCACACATCGCAGAATCAGATACTCGATGGTCTTACTTTTGGTTTCCTCCACCCTAGTAGCTTCTGGCTACTAGTAGTAATGGCCTCCAACCTACTATAGCGATGGCCTCCACCGAGCATAGCCATGGCCTCCACCCTAGTAGCTTCTTACTTTTGGGTTTTGATGCAACTGGTCACTGGTGTTCCCAGCCCCTTTCTGGGCCGTCCTGGACCCACTCAAGGATGTCTCGGAAGCTCTCTTGCGGCGTTCCTGGGCACAAGCTCTCGATCGCTCGATCGCTCGCGCGAGCCCTCGTGGGAGACGGTCCAAAGGATGCCGCGAGTGAAACAGAATTCGCCGCATTGAATCAGTGTTGACCCTCAAATTCAAAGGGGTGATGTTCCAGTCTTTTGGGCGAGTCTTTGCGTTCCAAAGACATCGTTTGAGCCATGGCCGAGGAGCAGTGATGTGATCGACTGAGGAGGATCACTAGATCCCCAGCAATCCCGGAAGGGACGGGTTTGAGAGCTAAATGGTCTTCCACAGGTGCAGGCTCAATCTTGTTTGCGTGTAACATGGGTGCATGTATTATGGGGAGACCTCCCAAAGACTGAAAGAAAAGGATCATAAACCAGCCCTACACATATTGAGGTTTTTCAGACTTATCCAGTATCGCAGGTCTAGGACACCGGTGACCTTGTTCCCAAGGAACTTCTTGGACCTGGCAAGGTAGGTGACCCATCCGAGCCACTGAATGAGACCAAACAATGGTCCTCCCCCTATGAGAAGCAGTGGATTTACTCAATGTACTTGTGGTCCTTCCTGTTGGACCATTGCCCGAGCTTCACCACTGGCAGCATTTCTGAACTGAGTGTGTCCAACCAAATCACGGAAATATCATCGTAGATCTTATATAGTTAAACTAACAAACAACACTACCCAATAAAAAGGAACAACACCATATTTATGACATATAAGCTGTTCAATCAGTGGAAGGGATTAGACACCGGACTGTCCTCCGGCCGCCAGTCCTTCCATCGCTATCAAAAACCGATGGCCCACCGCGGGTTTCATGTCATGCCAGGTTCTCGGGTCTTCTCGGGTTCTTCGTCAACCGTTCTGAACAGAACACGCGCTTTCGATGGTTCGATGTTCGGCGCCACCAAGTTCCAATGTCGAAGCGACGCAACAGAAAAAGACAGCGAAACCAACGGCGTGGAGTTTTCCACTCGTCTATTGCCGCAGGCTATTGGTCGGAGGCCTCCAACACGTCGTCGGAGCAAATCGGCTTCCCGGACTTCGTCCGTGCCATGGCTTACATGCGAGACGATGTGGTTTTGCACGTGCCGATGGGTGAGACCATACGGGCACTTGGGAAGAACAAAGAGGTCTCCTCTCAAAAGTTGGATGGTGTTGGAGTAGAGTTTGGATCCTGGGCAAGGAATATTCCTTTTGGCTCTATATATCATTTTTGTATGGCTTGGGGCCATCCCAGCTCAATTTGTTCCACATGTGGCGGCCAGGCATGGCCAGCCCACCTAGGTCTACCCACAATATCTCTCAGATAAGGCGGTGATTTCTCTTGGAATTCATTGGAAATTCCATCGGTTTTCTACAGATTCCCAAACACTTCCCAGGCAACCCGACCTAAATAGACGTCCTTGGAGCCTTGGGGTGGCTTCGTTCAGGCGTTTGCTCAGTCTTTCCGTACATGGGCTGTTGGGGACCAGGGACAAGTCGATGCCGACGGTGGACATATGTAGTCCCCTACGAGAGATGGGAATGCAGGAACTGCAGAATTCTTTCAAGTGTGGTGCTTCTCTTGTTTGGTCGGTCTAGCAGTGTATTTTGCAGTGAGGGTGTTACAGTGACAGTTCTGAACGATGTTTTTCGTTTTGTTTCTTACACTCCAATCCGGATTGGGTTTTAATGGGTTTAACCAGCCTTTTGGGGGGGAAGTGGTTTCCCCACTCAACAAAACCAGGTGGACATGTTTGGTGAACCTTTTGTTTTCCAGGGATTGGACCGGCATCGGAAGTCCGTGTTTCTGGTCTTGGCTGAAAAGAAGGAAGGCTCACTCATGAAGCAAGGACTCCGAGCTTCCCTAGCTTCCCAGAACAAACCTGGACGATGTAGACTTTTGCATTCAATTTCAATCCCCAGGTGAAGAGTGTTTTTCCAAATTCATGTCTGGGGAAAGGGTATTCGTCAAGAGTCTACATTTACTTCATTCCCACCTGAAGACTGACAGCCACTCTGATCAACCCGTTTAGCATTACTTCCAGAAACGAACCAGCGGCCGGTTCTTCAGTTCGTGACCGAACTTGATTCCCGAATTCCAGGTCACACCTGTTCGGTCCGGGCTGGACCAGGTGACAAACAGAGACTCCAGGTCGTTTGGTCACGAACTGAAGCAGCTGGTTTACTCCGTTTACTCCATTCAACTGATCAATGGTCAGGTTAGCCGGTAGAGCCGCACATGTTCATCGGCGCTTTGGAAAGTGTCGCTGGTGTGTGATTCCCTGTGGCGAGGATGGTATGCCAAGAACTTTGCCTGAGTAGGAGGTTCGCCGCCCAAGCAGCCCTGCATTTCACTCGCAAAATCAGTGTCTTGTTATGTTGGCCAGTGTGATATGTCGACTTGATTTGCTTTTTTCCTTATTATGACTTGTTTAACACCTAGAGCCCTGAACCCAGAGCCAAGGAGACCGTGGTAAGGGCAGTGCCTGGGACATAGGAAAAACGTTGAAAAAACACGTCGTGGAATGATTCTTCTTTACCTCGCGGTGAAGTACAGAGAAGATGGCATCCCTCCAGCAGAAAACCGTTCCAAAGACAGGTCAAACTTAGACCTAGAAAGACGAAGGCAATTCAGTTCCGGTGCCACAAAGACTCTTTATTTGGTCCATAAAAAGGTCCTCGCACCCTTCCTCACATGTCTCACGTGGTTGCGCAGATGTGTGAGCCTCCCTCGACTAGCCGAGGGAGTCATGTGGGTCATGTGGAGGCCACACCCTAGGCGTTAGGAGGTGGTTGTGCCATGAGTCCCTCAAGTGATTCTGAAGTCGGACTGAACCTGAAGGATGACTGCCGGGACGGGATTTTCATGAAGACTAGCTTTCTCAGGAGCTCTTTGGAACATGAGATGAAGCTCCCCACCCTTGATTGACCCAAACGTTCTGTTCCTGCACCAAAATTATGGTTGTTGCTCTTTACATCATTCGGTGTTGATTCCCGTACCGAACGATGTACCAGGTTACAGAGGCATTTCAACTTGCCATTCTAGGTTCTACTCTAAAGAGGCATTTCAACTTGACGTTTTAGTTTACTTTTTGGTGGGGCTGTTTGCTCACCGGCAGAGCTCAGCAGAAGCCATAGTGGCTGGTGCTGTTTGCGCAGATCAACAGTTGGTTCAATGAATGAGGATGGTCACAAAGGAAGAAGACATGTGAAAGGGTATATGGAAGAGACATCGTACCGGAGTATTTCTTTAGTCTTTCTGAAAAGTCATGTTGCATCAATAATAGGCTGTGAAGAACAATAACTACTGTATATATATATATATACTATATACTGTCTTCTTGCAATTGAACCTGCTCTGCAAAGAAATTCTGGGCACCCCAGGAGGGCCCTCCGGCCTCCGGTGTTTCACCGCTCTTCCCCCATCAGGTCGATCCCTTGGGGTCAGGAGGGATCGACGGTCCGTGTTTCACTGCCGAGCCACATGATGGCTTGCCAAACTGAGGGGTTTGGATGAAGTCCTTGGCTCGGTGAGAAAAAGCTCCACAGGACCGGAGAAGGAACCACTGATAGGAAACTGGTATGCAAGAGAGTGAGCAACTCTGTATTTACCCCTGTTCTATCTCCCTTGCCAACGTTCACGTTTTGGCATGACTATCGACACTCAGGACGGATAGTGAGGAAAATGTCCACTAAATCACACAGAAAAGAATGCACGTGCGCCCCCTTCGAGTAACTTCAATGCAAAAGCCCGCAACTCTTCAGTAGAGAAGTAGGGGCGGGCCCCGACAATGACACCACGTGGCAAAGCCCACCCACACGGGTGGCTATCGTCTCTGCTGTGAACCCCCGGTAGCAAAGTTTGTGAAGGATCGCTGAAAATCACATCACACCATCGCTGGTTCATGTTTGGTGTAAGCAAAACCTTGGTGTGCGTCAGGTTGCGGAAGGTTTTGGTGGGAGATAGAAGTTGCGTAAGCTGCGCCAAGCAAACCCAAGTTTCAGCATTAATAATTACTATGTTTACACTATATATATATATACATAGACAAACTTCATACAACATTGAAACATGCGGGGTGTGTTTCTGACAAGCTGCTTGAACATCCCGGAGGAGTAACAGAAGAACCACCAATCAATTTCAGGGTTTGGTGTCGGACCGCCCCGCGTAAGCTCCGTGTTTGTCTCTACGTAAGCTCCGTGGATGACCCACAATGCCCAAACCTTTGCCGCTCACTTCCCTGCCGTGCCGATCTGTTGGACTCAGTGTTTGCCAATCCTTTCTGCCAGATCTTTTTTGCTGGAAAGGCGCTTTGTGCTCTGCCTGAACAATCAGATCACGCGCAAGCTGTGACTGTGGTGTGGTGGTATATTTCCTTGCCGTAAGTGTTGCGTAATCCCCTTTTTGCAAGAACTGCACGCGTTTACGCTGCCATTGTGGTCGTGTAGATGGCGGAAGCACTGGCGCAAGAAGAATCTTACAACATAGGCAGATGGTTTTGAGGTGTTGAGAGCCGCTCAAGTCATGTCTCGTTGCTGAGGTTGTGCGGGCATTTGTTTGGTTGATTGTTCCCAGTAAGAGTTGGTGTAGAGGTCTGTTGGAGAAAATAGGCCATTCCCACAAATATTGTCATTGTTCCATCTAGTGTTGCTGGGACCTGTGCATTTTGGAGCATTGACACCGGACTTGCTTCGATTGGAGTTCGCAGATTCATCATCAGCTGCCGAGATCTTCGGTGTACCGTTGATCGGCATGAGGGTGCAGTTCGTCTAGGGCGATTGAGGTACAGATCCCTGACAGGGGCTCAACAAAGACGCACGCTTTGAATTTGGGATGTTAGGATCATATATCATATATCATATATCATCATATATCTATCATCGATATTTAAAAGTGGAATCACCTTATTTGGGGGACATGGAGTCAGAGTAGATGGTTTTGGTACAGAAGGCCTTCAGGTGATATTTTTCAGACCAGAAGATCGAAACAAAAGAACATCAGACAACATCACATTTCTTTCAAAGACCTTTTCGCGGATGGTTGGATCAACTTGGCATGCTTGTAGTTGTTCCAGATGTGATCGTTTTTGCTGTACCTCAGCGACTGGACCCTGCCTTCTGCCAAAGCTTCACAATCGAAGTCGCTGGCCGCGTCTTTTGTTGTTTTGGACGATGAGATCCCGGGATTGCTCTTTGTGTCGGACCAGCCATCATGAGCCATCATCCAGTGGATCAGCGAGGCAACTAGGTGTGGAGAGAGGGGTTTATTTGATTCGACATCCAGAGGCGCAAGAGACACAGAAACAGCTCAGCTAGGTTCGTTTCAAGTTTGGGAGAACTGGATGATTAGAGCAAAAAGAACTCTTTGTAGGCAACCGTTGTGGCAACCCCTGGTGACATCTGACAATTCATTTGTATGGTAGACAGGGGCGGCCGATGAGGTTGTTTGACCCGTCGTGTGGCCGACTCCTCCTGGCCATCCCAAATGACCTCGCAGCGACAAGACGAAGGTGGTTGGAACATACAAGTGTGTGCTGCCTACTTTGAACTTCAAATAGGAAATCAAAGTTGGAATAGCTACTGCACAGCCGGGAATCGCACTGTGGCGATCTGTGGCGATCGTACAGCATGATTCTGATCGGCTGCGTGGCCAAGGGAGGTTGGGGTGGTTTTTGGCTGACTGATCCAACAAAAACGTGTGAAATCCGTCAGCATTTACTGCACTTTCGAGGGAAGTGCCAAGTGCCTTGTGTAGGTGTTCATTGATGTCAGTGACTGGCATGGGAGTCACGAGCAGTCACCAGGTGTTGTTAAGTTCTCGACCACTGGTGATGGCCTCCAACCTACTGGGCATGGACGAGTGGTGCAAAAAGAAAGATCCAGGAACGACATCGAACCACAAGAATTCCGAGGAAATCCATACCCCAAACGAAAGCCCATCGATCAGTTCGCCCCTGAAATCGATGGTCAATCACCGGTGTCGTATACGGTGTCTCCATACTCCCTTCCTAGTAGCAAAAGAACATTAACACATCAAAACACCTAACCCCAGCAGTCGGGGTGGTGTTTAGATGTGTTATCACCCTGGTTTCGCGCCCAAAAAACCATGCTCTATGCGACACGGGACACGCTCCGCAGACCGAAAGCGCTCAAAGCACTGCGCGGTCGCGAGATACGACGGAAACGAGACGAACAAACCTAATGGGGCGAATAGACGAAGAACAAACGAGTCCGTTTTTGGGAAGCGATGAGTTCAGGGTTTCTCCCACTCCGTAGATTTGACGTCAGCTTTCTCAGGGGAGACAGATTCTTGATCAATCGTGACGTCTTTTGGCCATGATACGGGAGACTTGTGGAGCCTATGCCAGTTCTATTCTTCAGATGATCGCCAGCATTCGCACCAAACACGCAGCTGGAGCAGCAAACGGTTTCCAGCAGCCTTGCGCGTCCCAAAAAAGGGAGAGGCGCCAGCGATCCACAAACTTTCGATTCCTAATCTAACTGCCATCAGCTATGTCAAGCCATGTTGTTTTTTCTCCGGCGAATGGAGATGAGGTGTTTAAAGGGTGAAACTCGTTTGCATTGGTTTCCCATGATTCCCTCTACCCTCCAAAATCCACCCCGAGATGAAACTCATGATAAGTTGTTGCTTTGCCTGTGACCACGGATCGTTAGACATCACGCGGGCTCTCTGCCTGGTGTCCCCTGTCGACAGAGGCTCCTGCTGGTGACCATGGTCTTCAGCGCGGATGCCTGGTCGCTGCTCACAGTCACTGTGGTGGCTGCCTTCCTGGCTGCTTGGAGGACATCGGGAGGAGATCTGCAAGGGGATGATTTGCAGCCAAGGTGATGAGTGATGAACAAGGCATGGAAGACGCTGGATGTAATGAAGTTAGGGTTGCATGGGAGATGTCCAAGACACCCTGTTTCGATCTGCTTTGTCAACAAGAGTGTTTACAAGCTGCAAGGGGTGTCAACCAAGTTTGCCGGATGTTTGGTGAGGCTTCACAAGGCTTCTCTCATTGTTGTGTTGGCCAAAACCGAGCCCCGGTGAACCGAAAGAGCAAAACGTGGGCGAGAGACAGCTGGTGAAACCGCTAGTCATGGTGGAGGTGACTTCGTCTCAGGCAATCTCAGGTTTATATACAATACTAATATTATAAAAATAACTAACATTACATAATCATACATAATCTATGACTCGAAAGTCGATATAATATATTTACGTGCCCAACACTATGCCAGAGGTTAGGGATTGACTCACAAGTCAACCCCTGCTATAGCATCAAAGAGGCTTCTATTACTGCACATGGAAGCGTCATTTTTGTTTGTCTACGCTAGATTTCGATAGCACCAGTTTGGCCTCTACACCCACCACCCAGACTTTCTACGCAATGGCATGTGCGGTTTCATCCTGCATGGCTTCTTCGCATAAGCCCAGAATGACCTAATAACTACCTCACCCCAACCCGACCATCCACCCAAGCTTTCCTCATCCGCTCATCTCTTCGACCTTCTGAGGCATCGGGTGATGCAGGTCAAGGCTTGACTCCCCGGCGTGCGAAGGCTTGGCTCTTCCTGACACTTGGCATCACGCGGCAATCGGAGCTTGGATCGGTGGGCTCGAAGTAGAAATAGTCGCAGAGGTGGAGCAGAGTAGACATGGCTTCTCCCAAATGGAACTTGGAACCGTGTTTTTTTTGTTGTGTCTTCATTTATGTTGTTCACATGTCTATTATAATTAACATGTTCGGTTTGACATCTCATTCGAGCACTTATCCTTGAGATGTGTGCGTGGGGCCTTATACTTAACATGAAGGATCGAAGGAGAGAACAAAACCGGATACTGAAGACGATCTTTCATGTATACCTTCATGCAAGCAATTCCGACCGAGCGAAGCCAATGTACATTCCTTTCGTTGAAGCAAACCGAGTGAACCACTCACGGCTTCCTCGACTCACCGCTGTGGTCCTCACAGCTGGAAACGGAGCGAACGACAGGCAGCCTTGCTGCCAATGCGACAGGCATGCGTATGACCGGGTTGTTAACCAAGTTCCGACTCCACCTTTGAATTCCCTTGGGCCAGTCAGGGCCTGTTGCAGCGGTTACTCCTGGACCTTTTCAGTCAGGGCCAGTTCAACGAACCAGCAATCGACTATAGTGACTATAGGAGGATATTTAGAGCTCATGCCATGCAGTGAGTTTTGACTGTGGGGTCGCGATAGCCTCAGCTGGCAGATGAATGGCGATGGCAGTGTTGCTTTTGTCTCCTCCTGCAGCAACTAAGGATGTCAGCTGTGCAACACTCAGACTCGTCAGATTGACATAGGGCCACAAAGACTCGTCAGATGTGGATGAAAGATAGGGCGCATGGCAACAGGTCCCACTATAGGACTCAATGTGTGTGTGTGTGTTTTGCACCTGGGATCTTGCTGGTGCCGAATGAATCACAGGCCTATTGTTTTATATTATATATAGTACTCCTAGATATTCCTAGATACTCCTAGTTTGGAACACTTTTAGCCTTTCAGAGCCCCCATCCCATCTCTTTTTCTTCTATGCGACACAAAAGATGAACACAACAAATCAACGCGCCAACCTCATCACGTCCACTGGGTCATTGAGAATCAGTGACACCGAGGTCTTAGTGCTGTCCTTGTTGGTGAGCTCGGGGTCCGAGCTCCGCTCGCCGATCGCAAGGAGGTCGGGAAGCCAGACCACATGGCTGACCCTGGTGACTGAGTAATTAGGCTTTGGTGGTATTGTTCTAAGAAGTGTTGTATTGTTGTGTTTCCTTAGATCATTTTAAATAGTGAACCTCAACGTCTACTGTGTGCCTTTTATGATATCCATGTTCCTTCGCCTTGGGGAAAAACGATGAAACAAGAACAGTCTGGATCCTTTGTCAAATCCGTTTGCGCAGGGTGGTTCTATGATGTTCTATGTGGGGTGCTTGTGTGGAAGACAATGTGGCAAAGTGATGCTGATTCGTCTTTGGGCGTCTGGGATTTTATCCACCATGTCATGGTTGGTAGGTTCACATATGTTAATATGTCTATAACCCAGAGTTCAAGAGTCATGGGAATTTGTTGAGACCTCCTGGTAGTGGCACACGCGCAGACAGGAGAGGGCAGGCCATGCCAGCAAGGAAAGGGGAACCGACGAGTGATCCCAACGTTCCCCTTCAGTGTGAGCTGCATACTTCATGAAAGGAATCATTAGCCTTTACTGTGAATAAAGAAACATCGGCAACCTGTGACCCACACCAGGCAACACCCCCAACCGCGGGGGGAGTGCCCCATTTGGAGGCCCGGCCCAGTCCTCCCGGAGACAGACAGACCGTGCCGTGCCTTCGAAAGGGGGTGCTGGCTGCCTCGCGTAGCTCGCGTCGCTGAGGCTGGGCACTACAAAGTTGGCTGCCACCCAAGTACCCTGCACCTCCAGGGCCCAAGGCTGGGAGACGGTCGCACCGTAACAAGCGAGTGACCATCGAGGGGACCGTTCAGGTGACCATGACATGGTCGGGGTTCCAGGTCGCTTCAAAGTTTGGCGAAGTGTGGCAGTCATGTTTACATGAATTAAACATGTTAATGCCATGAATCAAACAGTATGCCTGAGATCGCAATCGGCTACACACTCCTTTTGGCCAGTTCAGCTCGTTTGAAGCAAGTTGGGCCGCCATGTGTGTCTCCTGATGTTCTTCTTGACACCCTGCGGGATCTTCATTCCAGCAGCGATCAGTTGAATCCACGTTGACACTGGATGTGTTTTTGTTCAATGTTTGTCTTTTTCCAAGGAATGGTGTCATGTTATGTCATGTTTGCTGGTCGATGTGTATAGACTCATCCCGAACCACAAGTCGATCCGCCCGTTGTTTCACGAGCCACCCCTCGCGGCGGGCGGGTCGTTGGTCTCTGAGTCGGCCATCCAGGGCTTCTGGACTTCAGTTGGTGGGTCAAAACAGGGCAACCATGGTTGAGCACCGAACATGAACATGAATACCGGTCGACCTCTCAGAGTTGAGGCCAGGAGGACTTCCCAATCTCTGCTCATTCTCTTTGGTCTGAGGTGTTTTGACTTACAGTGAACCGGTGGTGCCCGGTAGAGCCACTGGGCTTTCTTCGGTTGGAACGGCTGGGACGGTCAGGAGGTGGCCGACTGGCCCGTCTGTGCCTTGTTCGATGACGAGCTTCAAGTGAGCCCGAAGGCCCAGGCGGCGATCCCAACGGAGGCAGATGGCCCAGACCAAACGAGTTAGGATTTGGGTGGCGATCCCAAACGAGTTAGGAACGAACCACGAATCCTTAAGAGTCCAAGCTACCAAGCTACCTGCTATGATCTGCTAAAAATAAAGCTACCTGCTATGTGTTCATCATTTTTTGATGTGTATTTGGATGTATTTGGTGAGCAAGATGACAGATGTCAGATGTACGCTATGATGGGGGTCGGTATATATTACAAAGCATACCGAAGTGCGTATCATATTCAAAGCTTGATACCTTTCAAAGGGGCAACTTCGGGATCTCCCCACTTCTTCACATGAACATTTCTGGACCCCGTAGGCTGTGGGTCGTTCTCGCTGCGCCGAGACTTCTATGGCGAAGCGTGCATCTATTGCGAGACGCAACGTCAGCGATGCGGAAAGGCAACTGGCTTAATGCGTTTCCTTCGGATGGGACGGTGAGCTCGTACTGGGACAGATGAGCTGGGAGATAAACTCCGACTCACTGACATGGAAGTGGAGTTCACCTCCTGTTTGTGAAGGAAAAGGGTCTTCCAACGGGCTATGAATTTTACTGAGTAGTTCCAGGAGTGTACACCACCAGGCTATGACGTGCTATGACCGAGGAAAGACAGAGGTTAGCTCTCGTCTTTGGTTTCAGGTCGCAGCCTTCGTATCATATCTTAATGGTCTTCTTTGGGGTGTGGTGATCAGTGATCCGTTCATGGCTGCAGAGGATAGTGCACCAAAGCATATATACCCCTAACACCCTTGAACAGCCTTGGCTGTTTGTGGTGTCACCCTAAAACGGCTCTTTTTGGGGGTCGTTCGTGACATTGCGCTTCTTCAGGGTTTGTCCTGTCCAGGGCTCTAGACAGGGTGAAGCCGCCAGCTATTGAGGCTGCTGCGCGACTTGAAGACGTTTGCCACTGTGCCAGACCACGACATTTGTTAGTCCCACTGTTGTCAGGTGTTGCAAGGCGTTCCTTGGTGATACTTGTTGACTACTCGCGAACGAGAGGCGGAAGATGAGCAAGTCTTGATTTTCCAGAGTGACTCTTCATTCCAACGATTGTGTGGATGAAAACTCGATCTTCGAGAATCAGCAGCAGCCCGGCAGCCCTGTCTTCCGTTATTCCATGTTCTGTTGCTTTTTGCTATGCTTGGCTGCTATGTCAAGACGATGGTCCTCCGCTGTGATTCAGCTGGACGGAGCCACATCTTGTGAACAAGCGTCGGCCACGAGGGGAGTCTCGAGGCCTAAGGTACACATTTCATTTTCAGACGCATATGCCTCCACCTGGTTAGAAAGCTAGTGTTGACTTCCTTTGGATGCTAAGAAACATTGTTGTTTGTGGATGTTTGAGGTTGTTTTTCAGATGTTTCTTCATTTAGAACGTTCTTTGAATCATTGAATAGGCCTCTCCTTGAGGAGGAAAGATATGTATAAGGAGGATGACTGGATGAGGCAGGCTCTGAGTGACTGCAACCTTGGGTGATCCCTGGTTGTTCTATATTGCTTGATCTCGACTTGCCCAGGTATGAACATGGAAGTGAAAGGCAATTTGATGTATTTTTGGGGGGATTAGAGGGGTTACTCCTCTCACTCTGGGCATCCTAGGCATGGATCTCCTGGCTGAGATTGCCAGGAAGTGATAGGCGAGAGAGGGAGAATCTGGAGAGGTTTGGTTTGTTTGAGGGGGGTTGAACACAGATGTGTGTGACATATAAGAGGCAGCTTACGATCCGGTGCTCCAAACAAGAACGTTGTGTTCATGGAGAAAGGCAACGATGCTGCATGCTTTTAAGCCTTAATGCAAAACGCAGTCTTGATGTGCTTTCCTAGAACTTGTTTTCAAGTTTGGGTTCACCAACAGATTTCTAGTTCGCACTGACTTCAGGTAAAGATGGTAAAGAAGGGGCCGAAACGATCAATATATGTGTTCTTTTCCTTCGGAGTCTTCAGGGACAACCTAAGCGATGAATCTGGTACAGCACCAGGTTGTTAAGCCTTTCCAAGACCAGAAAGCGAGATTGAAAACCATTTTACCACCCACAGGAGCTGGGAGAAAGAGGCAGACTGAAACGCCACAGAGACGCCAGAAAAAATACAGACACCTCACACCTCGCCACAGACGATCTCATCCGGATGCCTCCGCAGGGATCACAACTTGGTTCAGTTCCTCAGCCTCTTCCTGCTCTCCTTGTTACGCCGCGCGGGGACGCCCAGGGATGCGGTCAGGGACGTAGTGACAGAAGCATGGAAAAACACGTGATGTGAATGGTACGTCGAGCGTGTTGGAGGTTCTGTGAAAATTCCGATCTTTGGGTTGCAACAGGATGTTGTGGGCTTCTCGTAACCTCTTGTGCACTGTGCCTGCCTTCAGAGCTTGTTTTCAAGAGTGTGCCAGTATCAAGTCAACCGAACCTTCAGTCAACAAAGTTGAAGAAAAGACATGTGAAAGCCCAGTTCCAGTGTAGCTATTCAGGTCAGTGAAGATTTCAAGAGTCTTTGCATCAGTTTGTCCACACTGCAGTCATCGCTCAGTCGAACGGGGGTCCACATCCCAATGCCCTCACCTTCAAAGGACTTCGCCAGAGGACAAGTATCAAGCAAGTTAGTTCGTCAGGATGCTTTGCTGATGTGCTTTTTTCATTCTCAGTGCTACATGACTGAGTCGCAGAACTGAGTCGCTCTACGAAAACAGCCTTACAGATGTGCATCCTTGGATCCACACGGGCGACGACATGGGTGGATCATCCCAGTCGGTGGCCAAAGCGGGCGCCTCCAAGGCTTGCAACCAGCGTGGAGAATCGGAGGCAGGTCCGGTGCTATCGGTTCGTAGGTCGGTGCAGTGAGGTCGGTTGCATTTGCTGTTTGCCTCACCGGAGTCGGTGGATGGTTTTGCTGGGTTCTGTTCTCCATATCTATGCATGAACGGCATGTCATTGCATCATTTGATGATTGGAGGGTGCTTTAAACCGTGAAAAGCATCTCTGAACATCCTCAGTTCTTACAGATGATTTTGGACCACATGGTTCGCCAGTGAGCCTCTCTTTTTTGGGGGTCTTCCAGGGTAAGAGGAAGAATCCACGTACCCTTTTTGGGTGGTGCTTCTCTGAATTATACAATGTAGTTTTTTCCCTAAGCATCCTTGGGCCTTCCATGGACCCTCTTAGGGTTATATATACATACATTATTTATCAGGTCTTGCGTTGGTAGGGTCAAACACTCCCGCCACGACCGTGAAGCAGAATGATGACCCTGTTTTGTAGGATGATCTTTTCTTGTGTTCAGGAGTGCAAAAAACGTCATATAGAACGTATACATTCTCATGGAAAACCAAAAGCATCCAAACTCATGGCTCTTCTCTGTTTGGACGATCGTCAAAGGGTCATCGGTTCCGCACCCGCCACCCGCCACCGGAGGTGCCGTCCACCGGGTCCGGTGCCGCAGCGGTGCGGCGCCGCAGCGGGGTCGCGTGGCGCGCGTATCGGTGTGTGACGTCACCAGGCCGTATGAAAGGTGGGCCATGGGCCATGCCTATTGGGTGGGTGCCAGAGTCTTCTTGGACCGGGGGGGGCTGCCATACACCCACCTATAGCTAGATTTTAGAGACTGAGAAGTGTACCTTCTTTCTTCGTATTCTGGATGGATCTCGAGACATACAGTTGACCAAACCCATAGAGCAGGGATGGCCATAGCTGCAGCGACAATTTGGTCCAGTCGCCAGCCAGTGTTGCCGCGCGCATACTGGTTGGACCAAAAAAGAGGATGAGTCAATTCGGACACTGTCCAATGCGCAAGGCAGCCTTCTGCCTTGCCCGACCAACATCGATCGATATTTAAAGAAACGGTTATAGTGCACGTGGGTGTCCTCAGACGTTCGGAGAAGTCCAGCTATGTGCCCTCAACATGACCAACCTGTGAAGAGCAATGGAGTCAATCTCACTGCACCTTGTTGTTGAGTGGGAGTGTCATTCTTTCAGTATGGGAGTGTTCCACCATGTTCCACATTCTATCTCTATAATTACTTATATAAATTCCATTCTCAACACGTGCCGCGTGACTGCTGTGACTGCTCTCTTGCCCGGACACGTTTTGAGGCCTGTGGCTCAGGTGGCGAGGCAAGGCTAATGACACCCTTTGGCAAAAGAGGTTCTCACGGTATGTGATCTCTTAATTAGTAAGGATCTGGTGATGCAATGGAGTTAGCTGTACAATAGTTGTTTGATTGTGGCTGATTTGTCTCATTTTTGCAAACAGATTGAATAACAATGCATATGTTAGCCGATTCAACCAGCCAATGTAAAACAACATACATGCCGAAAATCAAAAGCTATGAGCGAACCAAACCGACAACACACTCACGAACTCACCAACCCCAAGAGAATCCGTGCACTGGCAGGGCGACGACGAAGGAGTGAGGGAGATCTTGGTTGGGGGTCATTTGGGGGAGGTTGCCATAGGGTCTCCATGTCTCCCCTTCCCTTCTATCTTGTGGGGTCTCCGTATATGGTTTCACACCCAATTGCAAAGCATGTGAACTATTCCCACACTTGCAATGTTCGTTTGTTTTCTTTTCAGACATGTTCCATGTTCTACTTGAGAATCACTCAGACTGACGAATCATATATATATATAGGTTATAGGGGTGTTCCGCAGTCTACAGTAGGTGTGCTGCTTTGGGCCGAGTTGATGCTTGAGAAAGAAGGGCATCCGTTTTCTTCTTGGTTCCCACGTGAAGATGCCCCACTGTTCACCGCATGTTGAAGCTGGAAACAGTTTGCCGCAGGCGTCAGAAAAGAACTCCAAATCCATAAACAGACTTTGATGCATTGTCATCTTTACAATTTTAGCCACACAGACACAGTTACAACTACACTTGAGAACATGAAGAATGAACATGATAAACGTTCATAGACTTTCCAGTTCGCCGGTTTCATGTCTCATGTCTCCTTGTGGTTGCGGCTTTTCGGCTTCGGATGCAGGGCTTCGTGCTGGCGCCCTGAAAACGCCTCCGCTCGACCGCTGAACTCTGTGTTTGGCTTGACGGTTTTGGTTTGGATTTGAAGGAAAGAAGAATCCAAACGATGTTAAACGTGAACCATTTGGGGATACTTGGGGATAAGTTAGAGGAGCAAAACATAGCAAAACCCTGCTGAGCTTGGCATAGGAGAAGCTCAAAAGGAAAAGGAGCGTGCTATGTGGCACCTCGGATGAGATTTGATTCTGGAGGATGGATGGAAGTCTTCTAAGTGTCGCAGAAGATAGTGAAGCAACGCTCCACTTGAGAGGTCCAGTGGCAATGAGCAGCACCTGCAAACAGATGTCTTAACCTTTTCATGCTAAGTCCCAGCTCTTGCAAAGATCATGCCCACAAAAGAGACACCTCCAAATCAAACCATAATTTGAATTCCCCCCAGACTCATGGGAATGAATGAGCTTCTGAACTGGTGTCAGTGACTTCTGAAGTTAATTATGTACCCTTTGATCTCAAACCAGTATTTTTTTTCAACATGATGTGTTGCTGGCCCAGGTTCCACAACTGCTGTGCAGCTGCAATGTGGATCTCCTTGGCAGGTGCACGTCCCGTGCTGCACAGCGCCGGCGGTGCGCAGCACCTGGGCAGTCATCCGGATTGGGCGTAATCTGGCAGTACAAACCGCTGGGGGGTGCCTTAGTCAAATATTCTGGGGTATACCATGGTATACCCACACCTGTTGGAATATTTTATTTGGAATATATTTGTTTCAGAATATTTTCTTCTGCAGGTATGCGACACCCCCCATGCAGCTGCTGTGGAATGTTTTGTAGTGTTTTGAGATCTTGAAAAATATTGAAAATTAGTGACATTCAGGGATATTCAGGACTTTTCAAGACAAATTAACAGAGGTCAAGCATACCCTGGAATACTTTGTTGCTAAACGTTGAAGTATCCTGGAATAGTTGTTACATAAAAAGTATTCCAGGACGTTTGAACCTCCTGGAATAATTGTTGCTATGAAGCAACACCCCCTCAGGAATATTAAACACATATTCCCGCAGGTATCCACGGTATAGGGTATCCAAGGGGCCCCCCATCCACAGACCACAGATTGGATCGGGCTGGGAGGCTGGAAGGACGCCAGAGCACTCGGACATGGCTGCTTCATCATCGCAAGCGGAGCCCGTGCCACGGTCGGTTGATCTCCCCAGTTGTTCTGTTCATGTGCGAACTGGTCAACCAATGATCCAAGGTCTCCTGGTGAAGAACCCAGTTCGCCAACATCATGAGGGACTCCCACGGCGACTCCGTCCAAGCCCCCCAGTCTATAGTCCAAAAAGGGGCCTTCCCACTGCTTCCCACACAACGGCGGCGGAGTGCCAGGTGCAGCGTTGTTCCAAGCACAAGCGAACTTGATCTCCGTGGTGTCTCTCAGCTGCATTTGTCCGGCTTGCACAAGGGTTCTGTTTGAAGTATGACCGATTGATACCCAGTGCTCTAGCTTTTGCAGATTCCATTATTTTTCGCAGCAGGCAAACATGGGAGAGTCCTGTTGCCCATCACCAGCTCCCAACTATTCCCAACTTCATATGGGTTCAGGTGTTCCAGGATCGCCAGTGTCGTTTTGGCATAACACGTGAAACACGGAGACCATCAAGCTGGCCTTTTCTTCTTGTGGGGCCGCCAAGCGTGATCGTTCTCCAATGAACATCAAAGTCCGGCAGACGCAGCAGTTGGACGTGATCCCAAGAAGATCCAAACAATTGGTAGGTAACATCGACCGGAAAGCTGCAGTTTAGGGGGCGACAATCATTGAAAACCGGGATTTCCTGTCAGATGGTCTCTTAAACCCATCCAATCTCCCGGATCGAGGTACATTGTGCTGCTCTTCCACAGCATTTACACCGCTGGTGTGGCCAAGACCATCCGTGGCCGGGTGAGAGCCCTTCAGGGCGTTCGCACATTCAACATGCAGCTTAGCTCAGATTTCGACCGACCGAACATGACTCAGCATGACCGAATGGCGTGCAGAGGACTCTGGGGATTCAGCTGCGACTCGCAGCTGACACGGTTTTGGGGGGATCTTCGTTATCCTTGTGTTGTCCTTTTTCATCCCTCAATGTAGACACTCTTATTGAACTTCTTATTGATTAATACACCCCATATGAAGATGGTTTTTTAGTTCAAATGGGGGGGGGTATTCATCAACGAGTCTATACATGAGGTTACAGACCCACAGATCTTCCACGGCGTCTCTGGAACTTCCCGTGTCGGAAGGTGGACTTTAGGCAGTTCTCTAGATATTATATAAGAACTTATAACTTATAATATATATAACTTATAACTTATAACTATATACACTGTAAAAAAATAATTCTTAAGGTACCATCTCATCTCTGACGTACAACCTATGATTCAAATGAGACCAATTGAGAGTGAGCCCTTTCTAAATTCCAATGCTTCTCACAAGAAGCATTTTCTTTGGACACCTTGGTGACTCTTTTGGGGGGTGCCTTTCTTTGGACCAAAACGCATCTCCATGTGTTTTTGGAGTGAAGATCCATGCTTGGGATGGATCGACTGGGATCGGGTGCCAACGCTTGTTCTTTCTCGTCCCTGATGACTGTTGGGCCCAACCGGGACCACCGGGTGGGACGCGTTCGACCGATGCTTCACCACCTGTCACCACCCTGAAGAGGCTTGTGATGGTGATCTGGGCCTTCTATCAATGTCCATCACTGCCATGTGGGCTGCTCCTGGATCTCGCTGCCACAGGTGGGACACGCCTAGGTGAGGCCTAGGTGTGTGTGTTTTTTTGGTAGATATATCTTTTGTTTGCATCAAAACAATATGTGCCTAAAACAGAGGCGTTTACGATATTAGGATGGTATACATGATGGTAGCCAATCAGAAGAAGGGTCCTCGGGCCTCACGGGCCTTTCCTGAACTTTGCGACTCATGACGTGAGTCCTTGAAGGCTGCTTTTGGATATAGACTGTACAATGGGACCAACTGGTGGTGTAAAGGCTTTGGAGGGTTTGTCCGCTATGGACCTCCTGCAACATAAGCAGATAATATAGATTCTTGAACTTCTCGCAGATGTTCCATCTTCTTCAGGATTCTTTGTTGAGATGCCAGGAGCTTCGGGTTTTCTGTCTCCTCAACAATGCGCATGGTTGGAGAAGAACCCCTCGCGCCGGCCTCAGCGGTCATGGGTCCGGGTAGGGCCGGGCCGCCTGAGAGGGTTGCTTGTGCTGGTACATGAAATCGAGAAGTGTACCTAGCTATAGAAGTTGGAAGAAGGTGCACGCTTTGAGAAGTGTACCAAGTTGTTCGATGTGCAACGCACAAATCGAGAAGTGAATGACTGAAGCCTTTTTTGTCCGAGAAAAAGTGCCTTTCGAGCACACG